CTTTGGTTGGGGTGGATGGGGTTTGGATAATATCGAACACCTCTGAGGAGGCCTTACAGGAATACTGCATCTCTCAACAGTCCATCAGGTTTAAGGAGGGTCTCAGAAGGATCAGCAATTAATCAGCAGCCTCTTCCCTGTCTCACGTCCCCCACTAGTGAAAGTTTACCACATGCAGCCTTTGAACCATTTGCCCCCTTGTCAACGCCAACTCATGGCAATCTCATAGGCAGAATTGGGCTATATAGGGGTTTCAATGGTTAATTTTTCAAAAGTAGATAAGATCACCAGGCCTTTCTTCCAAGGAGCCTCTGGGCCTCCAGCCTTTTGGTTAGCACCTGAGCATGTTAACCAGTTGTGCCCCTCAGGACTCCCATAAAACATTAAAACTCATTGCCATTAAGTCAATTCCAACTCATAGCAACCCTACAGGACAGAGTAGAACTGCCCCATAGAGCTTCCAAGGAGCAGCTGGTGGATTCAAACTGCCAACATTTTGGTTAGCAGTTGAGGTCTTACCCACTGCGCCCGCAGGGCTCGCCGTATGACATGAGGAAAACAGCAAAGAGATACCACCGCCACGTGTTAGAATTTTATACATTAAACGTTTTATTTTGAAATAATTTTAGATTCACATGCAGTTAAAAAAAATAATAATACAGGGAGATGCTCTGTATCCTATACCCAGTTTCCCCCAATGGTTATAGCTTATAAAGTTATAGCACAATATCACCATCAGGATATTGACGTTAATGCAATCAAGATACGGAGCAGTTCAATCACAAGAATCCCTCCCCATGCCCTTTTATTGCCATACCTGCCTCATTTTTTCCTCCCTGTTCCTGACTCGGGGAAACTACTAATCTATTCTTCATTGCTATAATTTTACCATTTCAACACCGTTCTATAAATTGAATCTTACAGAATGTTACCTTTCTAGATTAACTGTTTTCACTCAGCACACGTCCTTGGAGAGTCATCCAAGCTGTTACGCGTATCAGCAGTTTGTTACTTTTTATTGACGAGTAGTATTCCGTGACGCGGCTGTACCACAGTTTGTTTATGCATTCATCTATTGAAGGACATTCTGGTTTTCAGTTTTTTGCTATTTCAAATAAAGCTGCTATGAACAATTGTATAAAGTTTTTGTGTGGACAAAAACTTTAATTTCTCCCGGATAAATATTTGCCTGTCATGGACTGAATTATGTCCCCCCAAAATTGTGTGTATCAGTTTGGCTGGGCCATCATTCCCTGTATTGTGTGATTTTCCTGTATGTTGTAAATCCTGCCTCTGTGATGTTAATGAGGGAGGAGGGGCGGCAGTTGCGCTAGTAAGGCAGGACTCAACCTACAAGATTAGATTGTGTCCTGAGGCCATCTCTTGAGATAGAAAAGAGAGAAGTTGGGGCGGGTGGGGGACACGGGACAAGACCTCATACCACCAAGAAAGCAGTGCCAGAAGCAGAGCGAGTCCTTTGGACCCAGGGTCCCCAGCGGAGAAGAGAGCAACTCCTGGGTCATACGGTATGGTATGTTTAGTTTCACAGGAAACCGCCCAACTGTTTTCCAGAATGGGCACTACCATTTTACATGCCCACCAGCAATGTATGAATGCGTCTTGCCAGTATTTGGTGGTGGTATTATTTTTTAATTTTAGCCATGTTGATAAATGTACAGTGATTTTCCTTAGAAAGTTTGCCATTATCTTTCCTCCATTTGGCATATAGGGCACACAGAATTTCACACAATTTACCCAGTGAATAAAAATCATCATTCTCCATGAATGAATCTTGAAAACATCATGCTGACTAAAATAAGTGAATCACAAAAGGAAAATATTGTATGATTCCACTTACATGAAATATCTAGAATAGGCAAGTGTATACAAACCAAAGTTAACTAGTGATTAACAGGGGTAGGTGGGAGTGAGAGGGAAAGGGAGACTCATTGCTTCGGGGGACACTGAACTTCTATTAAGGGTGATGGAAAAATTTGGAAATGGATAATGGTGACAGTTGCGCAATGAAATGGACACAATTAGTGTCACCGAATTGTATGTGTGAAGACTATTGAAATGGCAAACGCTATTACATATATATTTACCAAAAAAAAAAAAATCTGCAGTCTCTTTATTTATTTGGACATTAAAATCATATTTGAGTTTACATCATATTTTTACTGCCATGATGCTGGGAGTATTCAAATCCATCTGGGACTTTCATGGTATCTATGGGCAGATGCTGTATGCACATAAGAACACCTGGTTGCTAAATGACTTTATGGAACAATCTTTGGTGAATTCAGAGGAAGATATGATAATATCCTTCTTGCTTATCATAAGATAGGCAACTTGTGAAAATATTACAATGGGTCCAAAATGGGTTCTGATTTCTATATTTT